GAGGGCTTGGCAAAGGCAATACTCAGGGAGAAACTCCGGGGTGGAGCGGACGGTCACTAGGGAAGCCCGATCTGGCACCTGGGTAAAGGGGGAACAGAGGAAGGAAGGTTCTTGGTTGTATTAAATGTTAGTCCAAACAGCGTTTCTGAGAATCTCTAAGGCTCTCTCTCAACCTAGACACTGTAATGTTGGTAGGCTCCAGTGCCTTCGTGGCAAGGTTACAGGATGGGTCACATTTATGGAACACGGGAAGGACTGTCGTGGGGAGGCAATGAGCTCTGAGCAACTCCACAGGGTGAGATTCAGAACAGTATGTTCAGGTTAAAGGGTACAGCCCTCATTCTGGGGGTGCTCCCTCACATGGGGTCTATCAGAAAATGGCACAGAGCACCCAGGGGGTGGTGGGCTCTCCACCCCCAGCAGCAGCACTAGACCACGGCCTAAAAAGAGAAGCCCTATCCTGGGCAAGTTGTTAGACTAGCTCAGCTCCCATCTTTTTCAATGCTAACATGACATGATTCAAAATGCTTCAGCAATTTCATTTCTCAGTAGAGACATAACCCTTTTTCCAATACTATATAGCCTGCCCAGGTACATTAAAGGACTCAGTATGGTTGCGTATACAGACTTTGAACACTGGATCGGGGCTTAAATTTCAGCTCTGACTGCTTAGTAGCTGTACAACCTCTCAGTCTCAGTGTTTTCATCTGTGAAACTAGAACGGTATCTTCTCACAGGTTATCGAGAAGATAAGTGAGGATGTGCCAATTATAATACCTGGCAAAAAAGTTGGTACTTGAACAATGGTAGTTCATATTAGCATCAGAGAGAAAACCTTAATTAGGTGCTAAAGGTCTTAGACACTTCCTCTATAACCCCATTTTTAACAGGCACTATAGTCTGAGGGTGGGGAATAGGGGCAGAGGCACCGAGCAGTACTAAAGAGGAAGAAGCCATGGAGAGCAGAGGCCACCACGATCCTGGAATTATGCAGCAGGGAATTTTTCAGTATACAGAACCGTTATAAATATGTATCTGCTTACTTTATTGAAATGAGTCAAGACTTCTACCCTGTAGAAAATAATCCAGAGATGAGATTCAAACACATCAGCAAGAATAGCCTTCTGGAGAGAATCGGGCTTTGAAGGCGACCTCTAAGTTTGAGGGTGATGGAGATGGTAATCTAGCAACCTGTACAGATGGTCCCCGATTACCATGCTTCAACTTACAATCTTTCAACTGCACAGTGGTGTGAAAGGAATATGTATTCAATGGAAACCATACTTTATGCTTTGAATTTGGATCTTTTCTCGGGCTGGTGATATATGGGATGGTTTTCTCTCCTGGCTGGGCAGCAGCGGCTTCCAGTCAGTCACCGGATCACAAGGGTCAACAACTGACACAGACAACCCTACTGTACCTGGAAGCCATGCTGCTTTTCACTTTCAGTACAGTAGTCAATACAGTACCTGAGATCTTCAACACCTTATTATAAAACAGGCTTTATGTTAGATGATTTTGCCCAGTGCAGGATAATGTAAGTGTTCTGAGCACGTTGAAGGTAGGTGAGGCTGAGCTATGTCTGGCAGGTTGCGTGTATTAATGAATTTTCGACTTAGGATGTTTTTCAACTCACCATGGGTTTATCAGGAAGTAACCCCATCATAAGTCAAGGAAGATCTACACCATACACTGGCTTGAACTATTCATCAACAATATAATCCCTAAGAACTTTTTATTTCTTCAGGAAAGAGGCTGTGGGCCTCTGTAAAAGGTTACACGGTAAACAGCAGTTTTGCAATTTCAGAAAAGCTTAGAGAAGGAAGTGAGTACACTGTTGGAGGGAAGGCCAGTACAATCTCTGACATTAGCACTTAAGCATCATCCTTTCAAGTGAACACCTCTAAAGCTGTCAGGATCTTACAGGAACAGCGAAATAACGCATGCTAGCAGTGAGCAAGTGGGGGTGCTTCTCCACCAGGACTCATACGCTCTGTGGCAGCACTGCCTGTCACAGGAGGCCACCCCCCCCCTTGCTGGAGGGTTATTTTGCCTTTTTAATGTCAACAGGAGCTACTGTCAACCACCAATAAAGGCAGAACTGACGTTATCAATGAACTCAAACCCCCTACTAATGGACAGAGTGAATGGCAAAAACAAACAAATAAAAAATGTTTTCTATTTTTCACGGCAATACCAAGTATGATTTAAAAATCGCTGGGAGTCCTTCAAGAAGGCCTACTGAAACTTTTCCTTTAGAAAAGTGTGCCTTTAATGGTGCTGGGAGAGCAAAAATCAATTATAGTAATTTCTTATTCATTTATATAGCATTCCTGAAATGACAAAAGTACAGCGATGAAGACTGCAGCTAAAAGGGTAGCGCGAGGACCCTCGGCTGGAGCCGCCCTGCATCTTGGCGGTGTTGGTGGTGAGACAAATGCATGCCTGACAATACTGCAGAGAGCTTCACACACTGGCACCTACACAGATGAGGGCACACAAAACTGCTGAAATCCAAGTAAGGTCAAGACTGTATCAGTGTCAATATCCTGCTTGTACTACTATACTATAGTTATGCCAAGATGTTACCACTGGAGGAGGCTGGCGAAGAGTGTAAGAGATCCCTGTGTTTTATTACCTACAATTAAATGTGCCTTTAAAATTACCTCAATAGAAAAAGTTAGTATATATTTAAAAACTGAAAAACTCTGCAAATTTTTTAGCTTTTTGGAGGATGCAAAAGGTCTGAAGATACTCAGCATTTCCATGAACACATTTTAAGGTCACAGGTGGGATAGCCTATTGTGAATATTCAACTTATTGCAGAGAAAGTACAAGTCAGTCTCATTACTGAATCCCTAACAGTAAGGATCTCAGTGGCAGATAAGCAACACATGTCTCTGGCTTTGACTTTAGCATCTGAAGGCCACAGAGGTTTTGGTGTTAACATCACAACCCCACAGAGAGCAGGGCTGTTTCAAAACCATTAGAGTTTTAGCACAATGCTACACAGCAAACATGCAGATGAAACCAGAAACAGACTGGTGGTTGCCAGAAGGAGGGAGGGTTGGGGGAAATGGGAGAAGTTGGTGAAGAGGATCACGAGGTACAGTAATAAAATATATTAGTCACAGGGATAAAAAATACAGCATAGGGAATATAGTTCATAATATGGCTGATCTCCCAACAGAAGGGGTTTAGTAAGACCATATAACACAAATTCATTGTAACACAATCCTGAGGTATCTAATCCTAGTATCTTTGGTGGCAGATGGTAACTACACTTATCCTGGTATTTTGTAACATATATAGATATTGAATCACTATGTTGTACATCTGAACTAATAAAATATTATGTCAACTAAATTTCAATAAAAATTTTTAATTAGAGAAAGAAAGTATTATAGAGGTAAATTATTGCCACTTAAAAATGACTTGGGTGTTGCAATGTTAGCATCTGGTTTTTTATTTTGAAAGTCAGTGTGGGTGTGTGTTGGGGGGTGTGATAAAAAGCTAGTTTGGGAGCCCCAATTCTGACAGATGCATTTGAGATGGAATCTTTAAACCAAAAATTGATATACTTGCCAATGGAATGCAGGGGTGCATCAGGAGAGCGCTACGCAGGGTGGACATGGAAAGGCAACGCACAAACCATCACTGTTTCATTTTCAAAGAGGACCAAGGCAAATGGTAGTGGGGACACCTGAGCAGAGATACTAAGACACAGCACAATGGTGGTGAGGAAAATAAAGGCACTGAAAATATGAGCCTAATTTACTTTAGTTTCCCCTTCCTCCTGAGTTCTTGGATTTACAATAAAAACAAAGGCTAAGAAAAAATTCTCACTGTAATTCTTAGTTTCTTGTAAATTCCCAACATAATCCAACTTTAATCTTAGCACAGAGAGGAAGGCCACCAACAGACAAGTCCCTACTTGCGTCTTGTTTCTTATTATGACCGATTATCAGTGATAATGAAGGGTATTCACAAAATCTTTACAGGAGTCTTACATTATTTTAAAAATACATTTAAATGAGTAAAGGCATTAGATTTTTCTCATTTTGTTCATTTTGACTGTTTCCAAAATGCAATTTGTTCTACTTTCTGTAACCATATGAGTAACTTTTATATCCTTTGTCATTAATAGAGTTTTATATCAATGACATTACTTTCACAAATCTCTTCACTATCTTGTGTGGCAAGCATGTACCTCGACTCTTAAGATTCTCTTCACCTCTCTAGTCCCTAGCAGACAGACTCGTAGATTTTCACTTAAAAAAAAAAGTATACACACACACACTACACACAGGACATAAATACTTCAAATGAAAGAATGATCTCCCTACAGTAGGGTAATAACGCGAACTCATTATAACACAACCCTGAGCTATCTAATCCTAAAGTGTAAAATTTAAAAAGGAAAGTGAAAGTTTCTTCCTTAATCCTGGTAACAAGACAATCAGCCTTGAGGGAGACTCTCAAATACATCATTCCCCAAGCCACGGCCCTGCTCAGAGGTGCTTTAGGTTGCCAGAGGAAATAATAGCTTGAGATTTCACATGGACCCAGTGAACACTGCTTGCAGTCACATTCTCACCATTCATTTGTAGATAACCAAACACAGCCAAGCACAGAAAACCTGCCCATGCTCGGGGTTCCTTCTGCCCAAATTTCCTGTGCCAATGACTAGCCCACTAGTCCTAGGCTGCTTGACATTTTCTTATAAAGAGACTAATAACATGGCTTCTCTACAAAAACCACTTCTTTCATTGTTTGGATTTGAAATCTTAGCAACTAAACACAAAGTCTGGCTCATGGGAGGAGTTTTGTAAATATTTGTAACAAAACAGTACCTACTACTTAGGCAAAACAGAACTAGCTATTAAGGTCAGAGAATATTGCGGATAAAATAGTCTTAAATCATGGTCATTACTTAGGCGAATGGCAATACTAACTCATTTCTATGAAACATAAAAAGGGGGAGAGGCCCCTGGGAATACCTTAGTAATCGCGGCGATTTGCTCCAGGGCCACGGTGCGAAGAGGCTCGTTCTGGCTCCCGAGGAGCAGCTTCAGGGACTGGAGCAGGAGGCCCTGGTCAAGCAGCAGCGAGCTCAGCTCCTTCACACACTGAAACCACAAGCGCAGGTCTGTGAGGGGGAGAGTGAGGCACTTCGCGTCCCTGGCACTCCTCCGGCTGCGTCTCTCCACACCTTGCTCCCCGAGTGTGTCTGTGTGCGTGTACGGCCGCCTGGATTCAGCGTTCAGCACCTGCTTCACTCACCGTACAGCACACTGCAGAGGTCTGTCCAAGCCATCATTCAGGATGACACTGCCTTTACCGGCTGCATGATGGCCCACTGCGCGGATCCAGGGCTGTAATTTATCCTCCTAAACTCTCAGAGTCCTAGTTTTCTCACAAGTAATATGGAAGTAATTATACCTTTATTTTGATGAGTGTGTGTGTGTGTGTGTGTGTGAATAAGTTTTAATGAATGATGTACAATGCTCAGCATATACTATGTGCTTACCAACGGATATCAGCAATTTAAATAGGTAAAAACCTATCTATAATGTAAAGGTGAAGTGAATGCCTGATATACTTAAAATATTCCATCTTCATGAAAACTACCCGTGGTCCAGAAAATGAAAATGTATTTGGATCTCCACAGATATATTTGAATTTTGATTCTCTGACCTTTATTATATTGGCTGAACTTGCCATCAGAGAGCAAGATTTTATATAACAAATAATAATCCTTCCTGGCAAAACTATGAAAGCACAGAAAATAAACTTGCAAGCTATGCCTCCCAGGTCAGTTAGGTGTCCCCTCGGTGTCCTGACTTTTGCTGTAACATAAAGAACAGAACCCCTGAGCCAGGGGCCAATGAGTGCAACCTCCTTATTTAAAGCAACGGATGTTTTTGAAAGAACTGAGGACCACTGCCCTCCACAGGGCTGATCTTTCTTTTGTGCTCCTACAACAGTAGCATATCAGAGCAGAAAATCTCAAGTTTATGATATTTTCATAATCCCTTTACATTATCACAAAGTATAGATTAAGTAAGGATGACACAAAGAAGGGCCTATTTAAAGCTTAGGATGAAGGTCTCTTTGGAATTCCACTCCCTGCAGTTTTCTTTACCTTTCACCCAGCATGTCTCTGCTGGAATCAGCAAGGCCTTCAGATTTCAGACTGGAAAACTGTGCTATACAAACTCGTGTGAAAATTATATCAGTAGGGTAATAGTTCTATAAAATGTGTACTTCAAACATTATGTATTCTAATTCCAAAAAGTGTTCTGTGTGCCTTAAAGCATATATGACACACAGAGGAGTCTCACCCAGCATCTGAGCCAAGAGAAATACAGATTTCTAATCTGGCTCCCAAAGTCTGAAGAAAATACTTGGGAGGATGAAATACAAACTCCCACACACGACAACCTAGGCAGCTGCCACAGGCCACTTCCCCTGGCGTGCCACTGCGATGAGTCCCCTCCGGCGCGCTCCTTAGAGCGTGCTGCCCGGGACACCTTCCTGCCACGATGGGATGTTCTCCGTCTGCACTGCCCCACGTGGCAGCCACACCCACACCCACACACAGCTGATGAGTACACGAGATGTGGCTAGTGAAATGAGGAACTGCATTTTAAATTTTATTCAATTTTACTTGTTTTAATTTTAATGAGCACACGTGTCCAGTGGCTACTGTACCAGACAGTGAAGCTGCAGAGTGGGGGATCTCTCAGACCTTGTGGTCTTGCACACAATGTAACTGCTGCTGTTTGTCTGATTGACCCCTATTTGTTCTTTATGTCTCAGCTTAAAAAGGCACAGGAAACCCCATCTCCTATGAAGGGGCCTCTCATTTCCCGGCTTGGGCATGCCTATATTCAGGCTACACTGTAAATATTCACTACACCATCTGTCATCTTGCATTGTTGTGACTATTCATTTGTCTATCTGTTTCATTTAGGGAACAAGAATATTTTTGCCTTCTCTGTATTTCCAACTTGCTTGGCATATGCTATAAAAACATTTGTATATAATTCTCTCTCCTAGTACTCATATTCGCTTATTCAATACATTTTCAGTAACTGGTAAACAGGTATTTATCAGCGATTTATAATATTTAGACCAAGTGTATCACTTGGCTGACCTTTAGTTAGCTTTGATGAGAAATTTTATTGAAATAACCTGTTGGGTGAACATAATGGATAGATGTCCCATGGCCAGGCAAGGGCCTCTAAGAGTGGAGATCACTATATATGAGCTACTGAGCACTTTTTATCTCTTAGCTAACAGTTACTGGCTAAATACTCCATTTAAATACTATACTGTGTTCACTGGGTATTATCTCGTGTTGCAAGAGGTCAGTTTGTTAGATTTATAAAGGGATTTTAGGAGCTACAAGAGAGGTCAGAGTAGCGAAGAAAAATCACAGAACACCTCACACAGCACCTTCACAGCTCATGAAGGAATGAAGGTAATGAAGGTAAAATCCAGGCATGCTGTATGTAGGAGATCACTATATGTAAAGGAAAAGTTCCTGTAAGTGCCCTGTCATCGACAATTAGGCAAACATGTTTCACAGACCATGAAGTGGGCAACCAAAGGCAGTGGCTTAAAAAAAGTGAGCCACACTAATTTACCTCCACAGTGATAAACATCATGGAGCTCTGAAATCAGACAGTGTCATTTCCAAATTCGGTAAAATAAACTTAAAACATCCCATTTTGTAGTAAAAATGTCCCTTCCTTTTTAACAATTTTAATTCCCATTGAGCACATATAGGGATCAATAAAAACAGTACATAGCATTTGCAAAGTTCCTTTAATCATGGCATGCTAGGAAAAAAAAATCTATAAATGTACCCAATTGAAAGACAAACTGAGGCAGCATTAAGGAAAATGAGGAAAAATCACTGTGGCAATAGAACACATTTGATAATCATAATTCTTCAGCTTGTCATATTGGAACAGAGAAGTGATAATGACCTATTTCAAAATGGGGTTCAATCTGGTACCTCTTCTCCACCCCCCACAAATTATAAACTGTGAAAAGTAGTGAATTATGTGCTAAGGAGGAAGCAGTAAACAGGCTCAGCTTGGTGACCCTGTGGAACTGACAGAACCGAATCCCCTCTGAGATCACCCCATCTAACCTGTGTCAGGGACCAGAAAACAGAGGTCCAGAGAGTCTGGTGCTTTTCTCACGGTCACAGGTTACGGGGTGGCCCAGTTCTGGGACAGGACAGGACAGTTTCGTGCCTCACTAGGGTCCCACTGCCGCCCGGTGTCTGATGTTGCCCGGCTTGCAGGTGCTCCTGGTCCAGAAGGAGGGAAGGCCCGTAAACCCCTCTCCACGGCATAGTGTGAGCAGCGCACTGATGCACACAGGCTAAGGCACTTTGCGACGCATTCTCCTTTCCTTAAAACACACAGGAACCACTGACCAGATGTTTCTGAGATCAGTGTATTCGTCTATTTGTCAAACTACCTCAACAGGGCTACATGGAAACCTATTAGGGAAATGGATCTTTACAGCTATTTAACTTCTCCTCATTAAACCACCAAATCTTTCTTTTTAATTAGAAACACCAAGCATAACTTATCACACATTAGTTAATAAAAGAACGTACCTTTCCCTCTGCATCCTGACCGGTTTCCCTAAGCTTTAAACATGATGCTGACAGGACTCACTGCTCTGGACACTCACTCAGATACATCTCCCACCCATTTCCAAGTGGCCAAAAGATAATCCATGTAGCTGTTATTGAACCCTGATTACCGAGCCAGTGGTATGATGCCATGTTCTCAGTTAACTTACATTTCTTGTCTTAATACTAATTACAGTAAAGCCAACCTAGGGAGGATATTTAAAAAAAAACAAACTTCTCTGGGTAATGATAGAGATCCGAACACTCATTACATCTAAAACACTGATAATCCAGATCCTAGACGCTACAGGCCATTGTTGAACGAAGTACATTAGAAAAGAGAAAAAAATAATAGAACTTACATAACTACATAAGACAGACATTCAATATACATAGACCCCCAGTGTAGTAAGCATGGCTCATTTGGAAATAGCTGTTTTTTAAGCATTCAAGCACAGATCCTTCGGTTAAGGGCCAGATCTACCATCTATTACCAGATCTACCATCTATTACCTGAGTGATTTGGGGCAAGACCCTTGACCTTAGAGCTCCACTTCATCAGCTATCAAATAGAGATCAAGAAACCTCCTTAGAGGTGGTGGTGAAGGTTAAATGACACTAGTCCTATCTAACAATGCTTGATCTTAGCTTATGTTAAGGCAAAGATGAACCTCATGTTATTTATATATAACTTACCTGGCAGGAGCAATGAACTGTGTTGAGCCCCTACTCTATGCAGTATGTTGAATCCCACCGTGCATGAAACCGAGATGGTACAGCCATGATTCCCACCCTCCAGGTGTTTATAACATAGAGCAGATCCTAGGTAAGTAGCCGACAGAAGCAAATCACATACCAATGGAGTAAAGGGAAGTTATTTTTGGTGTTGGTAGTTAAAATATTTTACAGAAGAATTTTGTCATTCTGGTAGTTAGAAGACCTCTTTAAATAGGGACAGTACTTTAGAATTCAACCCAAAGACAATTAGTCCCTCATTCAGAAACAATTCATTAAATGTATATTCATAGTGAGAGTATTTTTCTTGAGTGATTACAAAGAGGACCTAAAGAATCGTATCTACAATTTTATTTTCAAGTTTATCTCCTATGTGGTAGAAACTTGAAGAACAACTAATTAATTTAGTGCCCTTATCTAAATGCTTTAATTTAAGACACATAAATTGCTCAAGCAATCCACTGAGGTCAGACCCACAGCAGGGAGCTGTAGTCAATATGTGCTTATTTTAGAATGTACAGATTTATAATTATATTAAACAAATACCTCTGTGGCAGTTGAACTACAGGATCAAATAGAAAAAAGAGTCAAAATGGAGGTGGTTGAGTTTTTACCCTGTTTAGAGAGGATGAATATCGTGGTTAAGCAATCTGATTACAATGACATAAGAGTTTACAGTCCGAGTGGTTGGTTACCTATGAGCAGAGTGCTAAAGCTCAGACTATGTTACCAACTGTCCTGGTCCAGACAGATGAGCTACCTGAGTTACAGTGACCCCTGGAACATGAACCCAAATTAGACATAAAAGGGCATCCCAAAGGACTGAAAACTGGGTCATACACCGGGACCTGAAACATGAGTATTGCTTCAGAGCTCCAGCGAAGAGAAAACTACCTCAAAGCATCCTTCCAGCATTGCTTTTCTCCATCTGATACAAACTGGGTTTTTAACTACCAATAATGTAAGCTAAATGTTCCTCAAGGACAGTCACTGATACTGCTTCTAATAAAGAGTTTGGCTGAGGAGAGGGACACCCCTGGGACACCCCCACACCATCCCTGGAAAGTCACTTGAAATACCCACTCACCTCTGCAGGAAGCCTCTCCTCGGTGTTATACAAAGAGCGACAGATTTTCAAAACTTCATTCCCCAGTCTTTCCTTGTTCTCCACTGTACACCTGGTTAGCATCACCGTGGCTAGTCTCACCCATGGATTACTGGTCACACTGGCTCTGAGGGAGCAAATGCAGGGCGCTGGAAATGACTAAAGCTGTAACAGTTGTGACAAGACATTTTAATATAGAAAAGAAATATCACTTATCGAAGTAAGACGCTTTTGGCAAATTGCAATCCTAATCTAGATGTGTTACTTCCAGTCTACGCGATAGAAAAGGTAACGTCTTATGGAGAAAGAAGAGCTGCGGCACCAAGCCCCCGGCTGCAGGGGGCGGTAGAGCCACACTGGGCACCAAGCGCCGGGCGCTGTGAGGCCAGGGCACTTCCCGCTCCCGTTCTGTTCTGTGACGTCCTCCTTGGCTGACCGAGAGGAGCTCCTTCCACACTCTCTCCTAGTCCTATGGCGCTGGGGAAGCCACCTAACCTTTCTAGGCCTTGTTTATTTTCATTGTGAAAAGGCAATTTAATGTTTTCCTTGCAGGATGGCTGTATTTAATGAATGAAGTTTTTAATTGTGCAGTATCCCTCCTGATAGTAGGCACACCTCACTACCTAAACACTGGCTTTGTTTCTCACATGGTTATGATTATGATTATGATTCTAGGGTCACGGCAGGACTAAACGGCAATAAGGACGGTAGGACAGTACACAGCAGAGGTCGGCTTGGGAGCACAACTAATGAAGCAACTCGCAGGCGGCACAGAGATTACACTCCGTGCTTCAGATAGTTCTCGTTTCTGAAACATAAAAGCATGCAAAAATTTCCCCTATTTCCTTTCTCCAGCTACCACCATGTTTCATAAAAACATCACAACTTAACATTTCAGTAGACAACTTGAAGGTATATTGATTCCATGGCCCAGAAACAGGGTACTGATTTTACTTACAACACTTTACAATAATTTTACTATTTATTAATAGTCTGTTTTCTCATCAGCATAACTCTAGATTCTAGACACTGAACACCTAAGGATGGTCCTTCCCTTGAAAGAATGTCATCCATTGTCCCCTGAGAAAAGTGTCCAATGCAACAATGACAAAGGGACTCACAACGCTAGCCTTCGGCCAAGTCTTTGTGACTCAGCTCCAAGTACGGGCCAGGAACACTGCTTATTCCGGGGTGCAAACAAAACTGAGTGTCTGCTTGGCTGGGGGGTCTGCTTACCCTGCTCAACGCCTCATCCTCTGCTTTCCTCCTGCCAAGTCTGCATTCAGCTCCCCTGCTTTCCTCTAACAGGCTGCCTGGCGAAACACTGCTCTGCAGCACCAGCCGTGGCCCAATGGGCAACGTGGCTTTGAAAGCAATCACCAAAATGTACTGTTCACCAGCAGGCATGATTCACTGGATGAAAAGTAGGAACCCTCCTTAAGCACAACTCTATTGTACCTTCCATGCATTTTCCTATAAGGGACTAAAACTAACTTGTTTCCAGTAAATTAGCAGTCATGTGGATCAAGCGAATTTCTTAGTTTTTAACTTCATGGTGTCAACTGGCGACATTCA